CCGCCTCCTTCCCCGTCCTAACTTATATAGCCCCTGTGACCTCATTCACCTGGGCCAGCGGAGGTCAGCCCCAGTTGGCTGTCAGCCAACCAATTTGAAATGCATCACCTGTTACCGGGCAGATTCCAGCTCCCCAGGTAGATGCCCCTCACCCAGGTATCAGTCACGTAAGCAGAGGGAGCAGGTTTCCCCCCTCCCTCAGGAATGCAGCCAGCTCAAGTTCGCTAAAGAGACAGGCTGAGGGTGTGGTCCCCTATGTGCTGGGCCCATCCTAATTGAATGGTCACAGCACAGAGATTTAAATCACAGTGTCACAGGGCAGAGATTTTTGGGGAGAAACCAAGGTGGCTTTCTGCCACACTGGGTATGGATATAAATGTGTCTGTATGTATTCACGTTGAATTTGTCTTCCACTTGGCAGGGCTTTTTGTAATGGAGCATCACACACTGCCGGATATGAAGTCTTTTATAATGACACCGGACCACCTGGGGGGGATTGAATTTGATCTACAGTTGCTGTGGAGTGCTCAGACTTTTGACTCGCCCTATCAGCTCTGGCGGGCGACCAGCTCCTATAACAGGTGAGGGAGAAGATCTGTGGTTTCAGTTGGCTTTTGCCAACAAGTTTTCACAAGTATTAACAGCATTTTTGAGCAGGATGCCCAGGCCATTCATAGTAATGTGGCATTTATTCTTTTGTTGTTTACAACATTAGTCACCAGCAGAATTAGCCACTAGCAGTGATGGTCAGTGATCTATGTGGAATGGATTCCGTGGTCTCCAGTTTGGTAGGCAGCCTCAAACAGGAGGAGCTAGAATTAAATGACCTTGGAAACCTGCCTTACCACAAAGTTCAGAAATGATGCATGTGGGAGGGCAGCCAACCCTGCTGCAGCCAATGTTGTGTCTGTCACACGACTGATGGAAGGAGGTAGTCCTCAGAGCTGTCAATCCAGTTCCATTCAAGTGTGCCCAATTCTATTTTGAGAAATTAAAGTAGCTGTGAGAGAATCATGGGAAAGCAGGTGTTGAATGGTATTAAAGCTGGATGGAAATTTGCATGTTAAAATAAGATTTTAGCCCCTGTTCCTCACAGTGCTGTTAATCACTAAAGCTGTGATTTGTAGGGTTAGAGGTATTCATGCTAAGGTTTAAAAATTCTTTTATGTTCACTCTGATTTTTTGGGGGAGAGGGAGCAGGGTTTGCTATCATTTGAATAAATGACCTCTATCTTTTCTTCTAGCTGTGCTCAGACACATAGACAAACACATGGTTCAGTTAAAACACTGGGGACCAAATCCATCCTTGCTGTTAACTATAAAGCTGATCAAGCTTACAGCAGTCATGGATTTAGTCTAATTGGAACCTTTCTGTCTTCACTAGTTTGTGTTAATTAGAAAATACTGAATGTGAGAAGCTAGGCAAATGCTCCAGTTAAGTAAACAGCTCACAGACTGATATGGTAACAATGGCATCTCTCATCTGTTTCCAGGAAAGACTACTCTGGGGAGTACACAATCTACTTAATCCCTTGTACTGTGCAGCCCACGCAGCCATGGGTTGACCCAGGAGACAAACCATTGGCGTGCACTGCTCATGCTCCAGAAAGGTAAGGAGATGCACTGTTCTCTCATTTCTTTGGGTGCTCCAATTTTACAGCTGGAATTTTCAGAACGTTTATAAACATGTTCACTTCAAGAGCATGTAATTAATTGCTAGCTTGAGTTTAGAGATGAAGAGCCTTCCAGTAAAAAAAAACACCTATATGGGTAGATATAGGAATGAGGTGCTCTCAAACTGAGATGTGAATGTAGTCAGGGCATATGTATTTTGGGGGGATTCAGTGAAGCCATTCATACACATGCAGTATGGATACTGTGCAATATATTGCCTTAGTGGAATTGTATAGGTACCACAAGCTGAAATGGCTTAGATCCCAGCATGCCCTTTGTGTTAGCTGCACAGCAATGCATTTGCCAACTTGGATTGTTTCCACAGAGGCAACAGGTATTTGGCACAAGCTATGGCAGCAGCATAAAGGACAAGAAAAAGGAAACTATCTATTAGCTTTGGAATCTAGTGACTGCAGCTACCCTCCTCCAAGACAGTAAAACAGGGCTTCCTTAATGTTAAAGCTATACACATGGGTGACTGGTGCTGCCTTAGTCAGGGGGGCACATGCCCCCCCCAGCAACCACTCAGCAACTGTGGGGGGATCCCCCCATGGCCAGTTGCACTGGCCGGGAAGCACCTGCGGTGTTCCTGGAAGTAGCCATGGTGCACCCACTCCCTGGCCGGCGCTCACAGGGGGTACACCTATCTGCCCACCCTACCTGTTGCCTGGGCGGCGAGTGCGGCCTTTTGCGGGGGGTGCACCGGCATTCTCAGGGGGTGCATGTGCACCCCTGTGCACCCCTTACACATCACCAGTGGCTATACAGTTATTTGAGCAGTTTATAACCAGTTATAATGGCAGGCTTTGTGACTTCTGAGCACCAGAGGCACAGATGTCCACCAGACATGGTGAGAAAAATGAGATAAAGTATGGTATCTCTTTCTTTCTTTCTTTTTGCTTCTGTCAGTGATCATCTCTGCAGTTACATAGAGCCTAATTGCTGAGAATATCAAAGGCCAGTTCAAGTCCATGCTGTTCTCTCACTTTAGGGAGACATTCCACCCTCCCCCACTGGACCCACATACACTACCTCACTAACTGGATGTCTTGTAGGAGGCTAAGAATGGATGGATATGGAAGATAAGGATGGGTGGGGGTGGGGATGTCCTAATTTGGGCTCCTCTTTGATTAATCGTTACTTGGAATGCTTCTCATGGTCCCTCCCTTCACCTGACTGCAGCTATCAAACACATGCTGGTTCAGTCAGTCTTAGTTCCATGGCCTGCATATGGTCCAGAAGCTCCCATTTCAGAACAAATCTACCTGCATCTCTCTACCCCATGCATTAGACCTTAAATCAGGTGCATCATACTCACCCTGGTCCCCAGGTTGGATCTGAGGAGCTAGCAGGGACTGCAGCAGAGCTGCATTTAGGCAGCAGCATGGGTCTAGGGCAGGGCAGCAGTGTAGGTCTGGGGGCAAGAGGTGGCGGGGGGAGGTGCATTTGGGTTGCAGTGTGGGGCTCTGGCCAGGCAACAGGTGAAATCGGGCCATATGTCAGGCCATATGTTTGACACCCCTGCTGAGCACTTGCCTTCCTCAGCTCAGATGAATTTCACTCTTGATGCCTTTTGTCAGTTTAACAGGGAACCCTAGCCCTGTTACCAGAAGGCAGGTCAGCCGCTTTAAAGTCAGAACTTTCTGGGCACAGCGTGCTGGTAAGGTGCGGGGGGGCGTGTTAAAAACTGAGCCTGGCCTGCTAGTCAGCTGACTGGAAGGGGGAGGCCAGGACTATAAAAACCCTGAGCTGGGCGGCAGTAAGGGCCAGCAGCCAAAGGGGAAGGAGCGCGTCCCAGGGCTCGCTGGAGAGACTTGGAGAGCGGTCCAGTGGCTGCAGGAGTGGGAACTAGTGGCAGCAACCCGCAGAAGAAGGACTGTAGCAGACAGTGGGACAGCAGCAGCATGAACCCCTGAGAAACTGTAAGCTGGCGTGCTGCCTTCTTTACTCACATTGTCTTAGAGGTAGTTATAGCGTATGGACAAGACTGTTCATATTTTTTTTGTTATTGAGTAACATCGGTGGTTTTGGGTGAGGCTATTTGTGGAAGGAGGAGGCCTCATTGGGACCCCACTACAGTGTGGGGACCCAGTGCCAGAGGAGGCACAGTATTGAGGGTACATAGGCCCCGGCACCTATGAGGGTACAGGATTTTGGGGTGCACTGACCCCAAAAAACAGATATACCACATTAACATTCTGAAGCCATGGCAAAAACAAGAGTTCCTGTACTTGGCCCTCCAACCAGATGAACGGGAACTGGGACCCTCCCTGAGGGAGAGGGAGGGGAGAAGTGAAGTGGAAGTGGCTCCACAACTCTCTGAAGAGCAGAGGCAACAGGCAATGGAACTAGTGAGGGAATATGGAGATATGTTCCAGGAGGTCCCCAGGGAGGCTAGAGGCATAATACATCGAATAAGGATCCCTCCAGGCCAGGTGATCTGCAAGAACTGGAGACGAATCCCACAACAACTTTAAGGAGAGATAAAAGAGGAACTTGAAATGATGTTAGAAAAAGGCATAATGCAAGAGTCCTGAAGCGACTGGCGTAGCCCCATTGTGGCCATACCAAAGCCAGATGGAAAAATTAGGCTCTGTATTGACTTCTGAAAAGTAAGTGTGGTGGCTAAGTTCGATGCTTATCCAATGCTGACGAAATGGTGGAAAACATAGGGCAAGCCAGCTATATCTCCACGTTGGACCTTATGAAAGGCTACTGGCAGGTCTCCTTAGCACCTGAAGAAAAGACAGCCTTCACCACACCATGGGGCCTATTTCATTTCTGACACATGCCATTTGGATTACACAGAGATGCTGTGACATTTCAGCGGCTAATGGACAGAGTCCTGGCCCCGCGTGGGAGTTATGCAGTGGCTTATGTAGATGACATTATTGTGTATACCGCAGATTGGTCAGGGCATTTAACAACGCTGCGAGTGGTGTTACAGCACTGCCCTGAATGGTGGCAACTTGGCTCTTGGTTGTGCCACTGACTTGCTATGGGATCCTGGCAACATTACTTTGTCTGCCTGTGTCTCTCTTACTCCTCAGCCTTTGTCTGTCTTGCCTTGTTACACTGTATACTTTGTCAAACAAGCTTTAAATAAAGTGCCTCTGCTGACATTTTGAAGTGCAGGGATGCTGATACATGAAATGCAGGACGCTGCTGGAGCATGGTAATTGCCATGCTCCAGTAGATTCGATTGAGTCTGCTCTGACACTGGATTTACAGTGCATCAGAGTAGCTCCCTGCTCGTGTATAGGCACCATGAAGCCTAGCATAATGAGGACACCAATATGGTGGGCTAGTGTCTCTAGGTCCTGTTGGAATACAGAGGATAACAGCCATGGTGTAAATGCAAGATCTCTGGTGACGCAGTTTTTAAAATCTCTAAACTCCAACACTGTCTTCTTCCTTTTTTCTTTTTGTTCACCCCACTTTAGATTTTTGATCCCAATTGCTTTCCAGCAAACAAACCGCCCGGTTCCTGTTGTCTACTCCCTGAACACAGAGTTTCAGCTTTGTAACAATGAGAAAGTGTTTTTGATGGATCCCACCAAATCTGAGATATCTTTGGCAGAAATGGATTACAAAGGAGCCTTTTCAAAAGGTAAAGTTTTTCCCTTTCCTTTGTTAGTTTACTTTTACTTCAAGTTTCTGGCTGCACGGCCTCAGCTCCTGGGTAAGAGAAATGATGTGATAAAATGCAGGTTGCTGTCCCTCAATGAGCAGTATTTTGACCACAACGCAGGATTATGTTCCAGCCCAGTAACATGATGACCACAAGACAGTTCTGTATCAGGATCATAACACACTAGGCATGTCTAAACCATGTCATAATACCTTTCACTAAACTGGTACATTTGGCTCTGAAAACAGCTTTTGCGTGTCTCCCATTTCTTGCCTATCATTCTTTCCAACATCCTTAGGTCAGATCCTGTATGGCCGCGTGCTTTGGAATCCAGAGCAAAACCTCAACTCAGCTTACAAACTGCAGCTGGAAAAAGTCTATCTCTGTACTGGCAAGGATGGTTACGTGCCTTTCTTTGACCCCACGGGAACAATCTATAATGAAGGGCCACAGTATGGCTGTATTCAACCCAACAAGCACCTAAAGCACAGATTTCTTCTCCTGGTATGTTTTATAGAGTGGGCAGAATTGACTAGGTCTTTACAGGAGGGAGGGAAGACAAAGAGAAAACTGAGAGAGCAGTGGGACTCTAGCAGGAGCTCAGAATCCTCTCTGCAGTGAAACCTGCCCTTGGATATGTTTGTGAATAAAGCTTCAGGTGCCACAGTTGGACCTTTTCTCCTGAAAATATAAAAGGCAGTTTTATGAACAGGGAAACTCCTGTCTTTAAGGAAATATTTGACCCAAGGGAAAGTGGTGGCCTTTGATGCAGTAAAAGAGAGTGGGGCAGGGAGAGGTGAAGGTCAGTGGGGGAGGAAGAGGTATAAAGGACATCATGAAAAGATGTTCTGCTCATGTTACTTTCCTGCTTCATAAATCATGAGCCAAAAAACTCATCTTTGAAAAATCTCCGCTTTTCCATGTTGCTCTTGATTATAAGTACTGTGTGTGTGACTGATTCACATTTTTTTAATCCTGTATTTATTTTCCCTAAATTTCAGGACCGAAATCAACCAGAAGTAACTGATAAGTACTTCCATGATGTACCTTTTGATGCTCACTTTGCCTCTGAATTGTCTGATTTCCACTCAGTGAGCAGCATGCCAGGAGTGGATGGATTTACTATGAAAGTGGATGCTCTCTACAAGGTGCCTGACATGAGATATATAGTACCACAGAGAGAGTTCTTTATTTAGGCCTAGGTGCTGTGTACAGACATGTTATTGCACATGTAGAAGTCAAACACATTTGGGCAAACCCTAAAGCTTATATAATTTTCTAGATACCTACAACCGCCACTGTGGAGAAAGGCAACATGGGCTTCCCAGTGCCAGAAATACTCCAACAGTGTAGGGACCTATTTCTGAATTGGGATGCACTGGCACAGATCTTTATATCCGAGCACAGAAGCTGGTTGCACCGTGGTGTGCATTAGGTGGTCCTGTTATAGAAGGCTTCACATTAATTTCCTTTATTACTAATCTTAGTGTAAAGCATGATTCCAGCCTAAGGGACCCAGCATATATTTCACCAATGTGCTCAGTCCCTTTGACTTCACTGAAGTCAAGAGTTCAAAGTGCTTAGCACTATGAAGTTCAAAGCCATTCAGTTAAAAAGACAGAATCCCTAAGGACTGGCTACACTCTTTTCAAACCCTAAATTACATGATACATACAGGTAAGAGACAAACTCTAGCACAAAAATATAGAGATCAGAAGTTAAGATCAGACACCCTTCCCTATCTGTCTTACAAAGCAGGTTTATCTGGTTGAACTTTCATGGGGCAGTGGTTTGCTTTAATTTCAAATTGTATTTTAACAATGATGTGCAGTTTGCCATAGTGCTTAACATATTTTTGAATAAGTTATTAAATAATGCTAGTAATTATCAGATCTAGTCAAAACAGTAAACATTTGCAATACATCAATTTTTTTTCAAAACGTAGTGAGAAGTTAAATGATTTTTTTTCTAAAATTGAAAACTTTCAACCAAACCTTAGAAGTGGTTAAAAACTTGGAATCTGGGGGATCTTGAGTCATTAAAAGTTTTGATCAAAAGGACAAAGTATTGATTATTAAAAAATAATTGGAGCTGATGGAATATTTATTGTTACTAGAACTGAATTAGTCATTTGGCAGTGATCAAAACTTCAACAAAACTGACAATTTCCAAATCATGTGGCGTGGTGATTGCTGTCATCTTGACCAACACATGGGGATGGACTCATGATCTCCAGCAATGTAAATATGAACCAAAAAAGTACAAGCTAAAGCTGTCTGTAAGAAAATTCTATTCCCTGTGGATTAAACACAAAGGAGTTGTAAAACACTCACCACTGGGTAACAGTGTCACATCCCCGCTGCTGTCTGCTCTCAACAGAATTCTTGTGTCCCTTTAGCTGAATGCCAGGGTTAAGTCTCCTTTGTGTCTGTCTGTCTGCTCTTTCCTAAAGGTGGAAGCTGGACACCAGTGGTATCTCCAAGTGATCTACGTAATTGGCCCCGAGACTATTGCAGGGCCCCGTGTCCAACGTTCCCTCACTCACCGCCTGAAACGTGGGCGCAGGGACCTTGTAGATAATAACGGCAGGCTTATCCTGGACGACTCCTTGATTTATGACAATGAAGGTGACCAAATCAAGAATGGCACCAACATGAAGTCATTGAGTCTGGAGGTACAGGAAGCAGTTGCAGCTGCCTCCTTCTCACAGACAGGTGCCTCCATAGGAAGTGCTTTAGCTGCCATCATGCTGCTGCTGCTTGTCCTTCTGGTAATTTGCTTCATAACCAGGAAATGTCAAAAGCAGCAGAAGAAGAAAAAGCCCACCAAAGATGTCATGGAGGAATATCCTCTGAACACCAAGATGCAGGTGCCTAAGAAAAACCCAGAGAGGGTGGAGAAGAATATAAACAGACAGTACTGCACTGTGAGGAACATCAATATACTAAGTGAAAATGAGGGTGCGTACAAGATCAAAGGTGCAAAGGTCAAACAGGTAAACTTAGAGGTCAAAGTTCATAACAATCTACATGATGGAACAGAAGTTTAATAAAGTGCACATCTTTTTGTAAAAGCTTTTTATAAATTGTGAAAAATTTAAATCGTAAACTGGTATTTTTATAATCTTGTGGAAAAAGGGAAGACTATAGCTTTGAGTGGTGGACAGCAATACATCCTCACAGGCTTCAACTCACAACTGAGCTACCTCATTAAAAGCAGAACAGTGAAACACCCAGGGCAGAAAAAAATGGTATCTCTACCAACAAGTTTATTCAGTTTTAGGCTGCACAACTTTCATAGCAACCTCCATAGCAGCCAGATATTTACCCAAACTTGAATAGTTCCCATATGAAGTCCACCAATCCTGAAATGGGGGGTTACAGAGGAATAGTGCAACAACCCTATATCAGACACAGTATTATAGGAAAGAAGCTTATTAAAGAGTTGGAATCTATTACGTTCCACTCTGTACTGTTTTCCTTTTTGTACCTCCTCTCTTTTATTGGACTGCATCAGACAGAACATGACAATTTTGGTCAAGAATGCAGACATGCAGCCAGTACTGCAACTAATGTCGTTTCTTATTGATGGTTGATCTTCATGGAGGTAAAATGCTGTGAGAGGAGGTCACCTCATGCAGAGGGTGGCACTGTGCATCATTCAAACAGTGTGTTAGTGTGCCTGCAGCCTTCTGCACCTGAGTGACCGTCACTCTAAAAGAACAGTGAGAGAAGCCTTTACTGTTCTGTGGTCTAGAGGTCTACCATTGAATCTGGACCTGCTGAAATCAATGGGAAGTTAGCCACTGACTTCAGCAAGGCCAGGATTTCATCCTTTCCCCATTAGACCACCACATCCCTTTTCCAACTTTCTGAACTTTGCAACCCAAAATCATTTCTCAGAGCTTTGGTCTCCTAGTCAGTAGTAAAAGTACATTCCTCTGCCTGGTAATAAGACTGGAACACCTTCCACTGAGAACACTCCACAGAGAAAACACAAAGAAACACTCAAAGCCACCTAAATGATAGGTTGGTAACTTGAAGGGTGCTAATAGGTATGCTGTTTACCATACTGCTAAGTAGGATAGGGTCCTGGCCCCATCTTCGTTATAAGAAAGGGGACCCAGACATGGAAAAGATTTCAGAACTGCTGATTTAGAGTCAGTTTAAATGTTGCAGCTATATATTATCTGACTCTTAGCACTAGCATCTTGTTGCATGTTATATTATCATGGTGCTGTACAAACCTTAATGAATCCCTTGGCATTATTCCAACCTGGCACTGGATTGTCATGATGCACTGAGTAATGAGATACCCAACCTCTTCTCCCTGACCCCAAATCACATACAATACAGATGGAAGCAGTTGCTCTACTGAAGGATGCACTGGAAAACTGCTTGTGCACAAGCAGGTTAATGCCTTTTATTTATTAAGCAAAATTGCCTTAGACACATTGATTTCTGAACTCAAAGAGTAACCTTTGTGCTCATGGATGCACTTCAAACTTTTGAGGCCTAAAACATGCCCACCAGCTTTATCCCCTAGCCTTCCTTCCAGCTCTCTGCAAATTGGAAGTAAAGCAAATAGTGCTGTCTGCTGACTTCAAGTGTTAACCACGCACACCTTCCACCTTGTTAAAATATACATAACAGCATATTTCCTAGCTTCAAACAATTTTGTACACAGGAAGGGGGGAGGGAGGGAATGGAAATTTACACATTCTGACCCCAGTAGAGCAAATGCATGCCTGGTGCTTATTGATTCTGATCACACTTAATAATAAGGTTCCATTAATAAATAGTTTAGGTTTTATAGTTCTTTATAACTCCTGTTGATTTCTTGTCTAGATCTTCAGGCATTTTACCAAGGAGGTCAGGGTCATTTGCTTCATTTTAAAGATAACAAAACTGGAGCCCAGACTGGGGAAGCAACTTGCCCAAGATCACCTGGCAAGCCAGGGGCAGTCCCAGCTCAGTGTACTACCCCATAGCCCCCAATGGTAGAACAGCTGGTAAAAGTCCAGCAGGTTGCTTATAGCCATTTACATCATCTTCTATTGATGTGCTCAAAAGCATCCAGAACTTGTATGTGCAACATGCTGGTAACATCACTAGTCACATATTAACCCTTTACAAACTATTTAACAATAGGACCTCAGAGTAAAGTGTGACCATGACTTCCTTTAGCTGTGTCCCCATCTCTGTTGTTGTATTACCTGATGTGGTATATCAGGGATTCATGTCTTTGGGATTCATTTCTGGTAGCTCAGACATTTGGTTTATTATTGTGTGTTCATGTCAAGGTTGCACATACATACATATTTTAGTTGTCAGGTCTGTTATTACTCTTGTATGCATATTATGCTCTTAGATTGTTTTGGTTTTTTTTACAGACTACATGGCAACCAGTTAATAAGTGTAAATATATAGTGTGCACTTTCTGATGGAAGCAAGATTTGATTATTCAGCTTAAATATTTACGGGGATCAGTTTTTTCTGCAATGTATGTAGACTGTTCCCAACAACAACACTTTTAGACTGTAAGCTCTGCAGTGCAGGCTCTTTATTTTGTGTCCTTACAGCGCTGAGTTTGCCAGTGTCTAACAAATTCATCAAGATGTGTAACAGTGTTAAATAAGAGTTATGCTGATGTTGATAGAAACAAGAGGTGAAATGAAAGACTCCATAATTTAATGCAGCACTGTATAGTAAGGGATCCTGGGATTCCTCCTATGTACTGTTCACAAACTAACTACATGAATCACCAGCTGCATATTCATTATTACATTACAACTCTGACTTGCTTCTGGAGAATGTTTAGCTTGCAAAATATGATGTATCCTCCACCTTACTTTGATTGCCAACATTTTGTTTGTTAGACGTGCACTTAAACTGAAAGTGTCAAAGCTTTGAATCTGTTACTTAATATTTGCAATTCTCAGTTGCTTTTTACAGTTAAGAGTCTGATGATCAACAAACATTGGTGGTATTTTCTCAGTCAAATATGTGGTCTGAATTTCTGCTGTTCACTTGACAATTACTTGCATGCACCCTACCATACATTTTATTATGCAATAAGGTTAGTACAAATACAGTCTTGGCAGTTTGTTTTTTCCTGTGTATAATGGTGCTGAGTAAATAAAGAGATAAGGGCAATGTTACCATTCTCCATAGTTGTACAATTGCTATGAGGACATTGTGGACATTTCTTCTTTCAGCTCTTGAGAATTGCTAGTGTCAAGAGGGGCTTACATGTGGTTGCAATAATCTGACTGTGTGTGCATGTGTTCTGATTTAGTTCAGTTATTTTTCAATGCATTGCATCTACTACGAAGGCTCATTGCTATGATCTGAGTAATCTGCTGGTGGTGCTGCCAAGCAATTTTCTTAACCTCTTATGATTTATGTATTTTGAATCTTTCTGTTATGGAGTTAATGATTTTTCCATGCAGTAATATATGCCATTATACATGAGTTTTGCTAATAAACAACATTTTGGTTATATTTTGATATAAGCTTTATATTTATCTAATACTTGGCAAACCACAGCAGGCACACTAATCCCCCCCAAGTACAGCATTTTGAAGAAAGAACTTTCATCTATTATTAAAAACTATTGCTAGACCCTAACCATTTGGATTTTCACTTAACTTACAAGTAGAAAAAACTCCCTTTCAGACTTACAAATACAAAGAAACCTTAACACGTCTCTAGTTAAACATCATAGAGTCTGTATACCTTTAATTTCAATTTCCAAAAAAACTATTTAAGCATAAAAATTTAAGCACAAAGAATTATGGTTGACTTGCATCCACAGGTAATGTGTACCTTATCCCCATTCAACAATTGCCAGATAGAGACATGTTTCCTAATAGGGTCCAATCTCTCTTTCTGTTCCCTTTTTTCTCTTCTTTTCAAGAGCTGGTTTCCATTAATTCAGTTTTAGTTACTCTTGGATGGACCTTGGGCAAGTCACGCCCCCACTCTGAGCTTTAAAAAAAGATAGTAATTCTTCAATGGCTCATAAACCTTAGGACTGTTGCTTCTTTTCCCCTCCTTCACAGAGAACATATATCTCATCTCTATAAGAGACTGCCAGACAAGGAAGTATTTCCTGAATACCCACAGCACCTTTTACACTCTATTCCCCTTCCTTTAATTTTTGCGTGAAAACCTTAGACACCTATACATGAGTGCAGAAGCTGCTCTGATGCACTGGAATTCCATTGCGTCAGAGCAGACACGATTAATTGAGTCTGCTGGAACGGGGCAGTTACTGTGCTCCAGCAGTCTCCTGCATCTCGTGCATCAGCATCCCTGTGCTTAAAAATGGCGGCGGGGGCACTTGAACTAAAGCTCTTTGAATGAGATTTACTCCCTAAGTGCCCCCACCACCAGGAGTACACCAGATAAATGTTTGGTAAAATTACTTACCTACACAGGGACTTGTCTCTTGTCCCTTGGCCCTTTTGGGGTTCACATTCTACTGAAATTCTGCCATGTCAGGCATTCTTTCCCTCTGTCTTATTTTTCCCTCGACTTCAACCCATCTTTTTATCCTTGAATTCCCTTCTTTGGTCTTTACTTCATTCACTATTTTTTCCTTATACTTGCCTAATCTCTTTTTTAGGGTCTCAGCCCTTTTTGACGTTTTCCTGCCCTTTGCTTCCAGCCTTCCACTGAAAAACTATGCCTTCTACTGCCATTTTTATTTAGCCCTCTTCTCACCAGCTGCTCATCTAAACTGTCTTAGTCCCTTCAGTTGGAGGGAACAGACAGTGTAGACCACCTCTTGCAGACACTGCTCCTCCAGCATGCTGGAGCTCCCAGCTTCCACACAGCTCCTGACAGAGGAAAAATAACTTGGACATGCAGGCCTCACCAGGGTGACCTTCACATAGTTGCTCAACATATCCTTGAATGGTCCTTTTCCTTGCTACTTCTATCTTCTGTCGCCTCCTAAACACACTGTCCAAAAGACCCTTTTCCTCTTTCAGCACTCTATCCAATGATGAACAGCACTAACCACTTGCCAGACTTTCATGCCACTTTCCTCTTCAACGGCTCCACCTTTAAAGGGAAACACTGCCAGAACAACGCAAGCTCGTCCAGGCACATCCAGCTGGCAACTTTCTTGGCAGGGGACTAGGAGTCTCATACTGGGCTCCACATTCCAGGCTGGCAAGCATTCCAGTGGGCTCCTCCATAGGAAGCCAACCAGGATCTGAGATTTCTGGCTTCTAAAGCAGTGCAGGTACTATTCCTGTCACACAGCACTCTCATCTTCTGAAGCCAGGACTCTCCTTTACAGACAGTGCTGTGGAGAGACAGGAGCACAAAACAGCAGCTCATCAGACAGTCTTTCCAGGCTTCCAGAAAGAATTGTTACTTTCGGGTATTGGAAGGGTTGCTTTGTCCCAGTGAGATCAGTGACCAACAGGGTCAGCTTTCTTTACTGGACAAAAACAAAAAGCCCTGAGCTACAAAGGGCTGAGACTTTGTGAGATGTAAGTGGGCTTCTTAATTTTAATTCCCTATGAGAACAGGAAAAAAAATTGTTGAGGAACAGGGCAACTCATCAATGATGTCCCTAAAAGATGGGTGTCTTATATGCAGGGCCTTAGCCTTGGAAGGCCAACAAGTCTTCCTTAAAGCTAGTGCCCAGGCCCAGTAGCTTGATCTCCTGCTCCACCCCTTGTTGGGCCAGCAGCAATCCAGGTAACTAGGCCAGAATTCAAGCTCAGCATAAGAATTTGGCCAGCCCCTGCCACTGCTTCCCCAACTACAGGGAGAATGATCCACGTGAAGGCCTTGTCTCATGGGTACTCACTTTGCTTCACAACCTCTCCTATTCCTCCTTGGCACCCAAGAGCCAGGGACAATCTCTGCCCCTAGGCCAGGCTGCAGCCCTGTCCAGAGCCTCCCGGGTCCGGTCTCACTCAACTCTGATGCTCCAGACTCTTGGTTTGGAGCCAGGCCCTGTGGCTTTTTTACTTACAACTGGGCAGCGTACTCCATGCTGTGAACATGGGCACATCAGTGGAAGCCTCTTAACTGGCCAGTACTTCTATAACACCCACCCCTGCCCAGGCCATGGTCCTGCCCTGAGCTGCCTAAGCCTTGTCTCGCACACCTTTCTTTAGGTCACATGGACATTCCAGGCTCTTGATTTTAAGCCAGGCCTGGGCTTGAGATGGGAAGCCAGGTCCTGCCACTGTTAGCCCCAGAACTGTGCCTTTAGTCAAGCAGGCTAGAGAGCTACCCTAGAGTATGGCAAAAAGATAAGTTTTCCAGCACCAGTGCTCAGGCTGCTGAAGAGCAGAGGAGGTGCCTCTGCATAGCCTGAGGTCAAGGAGGAGAGCCTTTAACTCATATTTTCCCTCCGCCAGGCACATGGGCTAGTTCGTCAGCTACAGATATCAGAGGCTAAGTTAGGCGTAAGGGAGGGCGCAAGAAAAAAAAGGGAGCAAGATAGTAAGGGGATAGCCCATTAACAAGACTCATGGCAGAGGTAGCTAGCCAAAAAGAAGGGCGGATGGAAAACCCCAGGCATCCACTCTGTGGTCCCACAGAAGTAAGTAAATGACTTAAACCACAAAATAGTTTTGTGACCAATGTCATAACATTGGACACAATGGCTGACAGGGCATGACAGAAGTTATAGAAGGAAATACTATGTGCAGTCAGGTGCTCTCAAATGGACCTGAAACCCCAGAAAGACCTTCCCAGAGGGGCTGATCTAGTCTGGCCAACATGGTGATGCCCAAATCAACATACGCACGCAAACTGGATGATCACCCTTCCCACCATTGCCGTAGAACTGGTGTATGATCAATTAAAGAAATTAGACATATATAAATCAGCAGGACCGGATGAATGCCACCCAGGAGTGCTGCAAGAATTGGCCAAAGTAATCGCAGAGCCCCTGGCAAAGGTCTTTCAGAAATCATGGGCCTCTGGAGAAATCCCAGAGGACTGGAAGAGGGTCAGTGTTGTGCCCATCTTCAAGAAAGGGAAGCATGAAGACCCGGGAAACTACAGGCCAATTATCTTAAATTCTATTCCAGGGAAAATCCTAGAAACATTCATCAAAGAGGCTATATGTGACAAACTTGCAGAAGACATGATACTGAATGACAGCCAGCATAGCTTTGTTGCGGGCAGGTCTTGTCTTACCAACTTCATTTCTTTCTGTGATCAGGTGACTCATCACCTGGATAAGAGAAAAGCAGTTGACATCATATATCTCAACTTCCAGAAAGCCTTTGAGTTGGTATCCCACAAGGTACTGATCAGAAATCTAGAAGATATTGGGCTCAACTGCGGGACCATCAAGTGGGTGTGAAACTGGTTGCAGGGTAGGACAGAGAGTCCAAATGAATGGATCGGTGTTATCCTGGCAAGATGTAGGCAGCGGCATACTGCAGGGGTCAGTACTTGGCCCAGTGCTGTTCAACATCTTCATCAAGATTCTGGATGGGGGTGGGGAAAAGCTCACCGGTGATGTTTGTGGATGACACCAAGATATGGGGTTGTGCGGACACACCCACAGATAGGCTGCCAATACAAGCAGACCTAGACAGGCTGGCATGTTGGGCAGAACAGAACCAGATGAGGTTCAACATAGAGAAAGGAAAGTGCTGCATCTGGGAAGGAAGAACTCCCAGCACACCTACAGGGTGGGCATCGCTAACCTGACCAGCACTATAAGTGAAAGGGATCTGGGGGTAACAATAGACCCCAGCATGAATATGAGCCGGCAATACAATGCAGTAGCCACTAGGGCCAATAAAACTCTGGCATGCATCAATTGATGCATCTCCAGTAAAACCAAAGAAGTGATTCTCCCGCTTTACTCAATATTGGTGCAGCCACAGCTGGAGTATTGCGTCTAGTTCTGAACACTGCACTTCAACAGGATGTACTAAAGCTCCAGAGGGTCCAGAGAAGAGCCACCTGTATGGTCAGGGACTTGCATGGCAAGCCATATGAGATGAGGCTGAGGGATCTTCAGCCTAAAGAAAAGGCTGAGAGGAAACCTGATTGCAGCTTACTGCTATTTCAGAGGTGTACATCAGGGGCTCAGTGAACAACTGTTCACAAGGGTGCCCTGGGGGAAAACTAGAAACAATGGCCACAAACTCCTGGAAGATTGGTTCAGGCTGAACGTTAAGAAAAACTTCTTCACAACTAGGGTGTCCAGACTATGGAACAAGTTTCCCCCAGAGGTGGTGCAATCATCTACCCCAGAAGTCTTCAAGGGAAGCCTGGACGGTCACCTGGCTGGGGTCACCTAACTCCAGATGTCTTTCCTGCTCATGCACGGGGCTGGACCTGATGATCCGTCAGGGTCTCTTCCAGCCCTATGATTCTATCAAAAGCAAGCATAATCAAATGAGGCTACTCTAATCACATGAATATATGTAAGTGAAGTGCAAATTATGAAGCACCTGCTTGTTTGTCAACTCCTTGGTGAGATCTGTATGAAGGAGGACCTTCCTG